GCTTCAGCCATTCCCTGCCGGTGACAGACGGCTCCGCTCCCCGGACCGGGCGGTGTCGGCGATCAGTGGCCATGGAGGGGGCTCGGGGGACAGCCTGGCTGAGCCGCTGCGCTCCTGGCACAGGTTCTGCCCCCTGAGCGGGCTCCACGTGGGCTCCCGAGGTCCCTGGGTGCTGATGGAGGATGGCGGGTGCTGCACCACGGCCCCAGCCCGGGCACAGCCCCGGCCCCGCGCGTTGCGGCCGCCCCAGCTCGCCGCACGTCCCGCCATCGATCGCGGAGCAGCCGCCACCGTCACCGCGGGCCCGCGCCCACCGGGGCGGCTCGAGCAGAGCCGGCCCCGCGCCGCGAAGCCAAATATTTGACTGTGCAAATTGGATCGATTGTGCTGCGGCTGGCGGGGGCTCGTGACAGACGGACCCTCCTCCTGCCGCACCCCTGCTCCTGCACCCCCTTCCGAGCCGGAGCAGCCCCACCTGGAGCACTTCCTTCCCCAGTGCCCCCCTTCCTGGGGCACCCCCTCTCCTCTGCACCCCTTCCTCAGAGCATCCCTTCCCCAGGGCACCTCATTCCTGAAACCGCCCTTTCTTGGAGGTCCATAGCTGGAGCACCCCCTTCACAGAGCACCCCCTCCCTGGGGTAACCCCTTCCTGACGCCCCCCTTCCTTGGGACACCTACCATGGGATCCCCGCTGAGGCGGGAGGGGGGGGTCAGGTGTCCCCCCACGAAGCTGCAGGTACAGGGTGATGTCCCCCTTGGGGCATGTCCCCAGGTGTGAACTGGGTGGGTGCCTCAATACCCACAAGGGGAACAAGCCGGGCTGGGGTGAGTGTGGTGTCACTGCATGGCACTGGTGTCACAGGTGTCACTGTCACTGCACGGCCCCCGGGGTGTGGCACAGTGTCAGTGTCACTGCACACCTCCCTGGGGTGGCACGTAGTGTCACCATGGCTGCACAGCCCCACTCGTGTCACACGGAGCTGCTGCACAGCCCTGCGGTGTTGCACAGCTTCACTGTTGCTCCCTGGAGTGTCACATGGTGTCACTGTCACCGCGCAGTGCACAGGGTGTCACTGTCACTGTGGGGCCGCCGGGTGCCACGCAGTGTCACTGCAGCTCCCGTGGACTGTCACACAGAGTCACCGTCAGTGCCTGGTGCTGGGGCTGTCACACAATGCTATGTCACTGCGTGGCCCACGGGGTGTCACCCACTGTCACCGTCACTGCCGGCCCACAGTGTATCACCCAGTGTCACTGTCACTGCATGGCCCACGGGGTGTCACCCACTGTCACCGTCACTGCACAGCCTGGGGTGCCACATACCGTCACCGTGCAGGACACTCCCCAGTGCCACCTCTGCACACCCCATCTCTGGCACCCACTTGTCACTGCCCCCCCACCTAGAACAGCAGCCTAATAACAACCTTTGTTCCCCCGTGTCACACCCCGCCCCCAGCAGCCGTGGGGCACCCCCGCGACAGCACAGCTGGTCCCAGCCCAAATCCCGGCTGCTCCCCCCCATGTCCCCCTGGGGGACACGTCCCCGAGCCCGTCCCCTCCGCCAGCCATGCGGCCGTCGCCTCCCAGCACTCACCGCCGGCGCTAATTAACTGCCGGTGTTGGCAGCCCTTAATTGCCGCGCGGTGGGAGGGTGACGGGCCCCGCCGTGTCCGTAATGAGAGGCAGCGTGACAGGGACAGGGACGGGGGATGTGCCACCCACACCTTGCCCTCCCCCTGCCGGGCAAGGGACAGTGCCTGGTGTTGGGCTGGGACGTGCTAGGATGGTGCTGGCCCCGGGGCCAGGGCTGAGCTGGCCAGCTAGCCAGCCCCTGGGTCTGCTGGCTGGCCACCACCCAACTGCTCAGCCAGCCAGACAAGCAGACAGGCAGCTGGACAGACAACCTGACTGGTGGTCTACTGGCCAATCAGCCATCTAGCCAACTGGCCAGGCAGCCCACCCCCCAGCCATCTACCCATCCATGCAGCCAGCCAGCCGGCTGGGTGTCCCACGAGCCCAGTAAGCCAGCTGGCCACCAACCACCAGCTCACCAACCAGCCGTCCCCTTGTCCTTCAAGGCCAGCAGGCAGCTGGCCCTCCCTGCCCACAGCTGAACGTCCCCTTCCCATGGCCCTTCCAGAGGACACAGTTGGAATTTGGGGGACAGCATCCAAACTCATCGGGGCCTGCAAAGGGCCGCTCCCTCCCCAGGCTCGTCACCACGGGCCGACATTGGGCTCGTTGGTTGTGTCCAGCTCTGTCTTAATTCCAGCTGAGCCACGCCTGGGCTGAGCCACAGCTCCTGCACCCTAGTAGGGTGCAGGTGGCAGGTAGGGACGGGTGGCAGGTGTGGGGGCACAATGTTCCTGTCCCCCTGGCCAAGCATGGTCTAAGGGCAGCGTCTGCCACAATGCCAGGAGGGGAAACTGAGGCACGGCACAGTGCCGGCCCCACGAGCACCCTGCCCTGGCCTGGCCACCCTTGCCCTTCCCCAAATCCTCCTCCATGAGTTCCACAGCAAGCGGGAGGTGGTGGGCACAGCCACCCCCGGCCAAAGCTGCGCCCCTGGAGCATCAATTGTCCCCGTCCCCGCTGCCGTGTCCCCAGCATGGCCCACCCGCCCCCGCGCCGTGTTGCCAAAGCAAACAGCCGAGGGCTCGGCCGGCATCGATTCTGCGGGAGCTGCTGTTTGCTTAACCTTTGCAGAGGAGCGGCGGTGTTCGAGCGGAGCTGCAGCCACCGCCACCGCCGCAGCCACCGCCGCAACAGCTGCAGCCACCTCTGCTGTCACCACAACCACTGCAGCCACCACTGCAATAGCCACAGCCGCTGCTGCCACCACTGCCACCACAGCCACTGTGGCCACCAGAACTACCACTGGAGTCACTGCTGTCACTGCAACCACTGCTGCCATCGCTGCTGTCACAGCCACGGCAGCCACTGCTGCTGCCACCTCCCACCTCTGTCCCTTTCCCACCTCCTGCACTCCCAAATGTGGCCATTTGGAGCTTTGCCGTTCCTTTCCCTGTGCCCAGGTGGATGGAGCTGGTTTGAGGGGCTGCACTGCACCCCCTCCCCATGCAGGGCTTGGGGACAGGGAGCACCTCAGTGTTCCAGCCAGTGTCACCTGGGGTGTTGTACCCCCCATACAGTGTTGCTGTACCACAGGCTGTCCTGGCTCTGCACCTGGCTGTAGGGACACAGCTGGGGGACATAGTGGCCAAGGGTGGTGGCCTTGCCATAGGGACAGGGTGGCTCAGAGCGATGCAGTGGCCTGGGGTGGTGGCTATACCAAGGGGACACAATGTCCTGTAGCAACAAGGTGACCTGGGGCTGTGTCCCCACCACGAGGATGCAGTACCCAGGACCAGGGGTGTCCCCTGACCCTCCAGGTGAGACAAATGCCCTGATGCAGCCAGTGTGGGCCTGTCCTCCCTCTGTGTCCCAACCACGGCCACCCTGTCCCCACGCAGAGCCCCCTGCCCACCCGGGCCACCCCGTCCCTGCGCTGATGGTGACTCACGCAGCCCGTGACCTCGCAAGGCGTATTTTTAGGCGCTTGTTAAAATGGAAAGATAACGAGGAATAGGGGGGTGTGGAGGGGGGGGGCGACAAAAATGATGGAGAAAAGAAGCAGGGAAACAGCTGGTGACATAATGGTAACAAACTTTGAGGGGGGGATACGGTGCTGGCAGCACCCCCCCCCCCCAAATACTCTCCCCCTCCCCAGCCTTGTAAAGACCCCAGGAATAATTGCCTGCTTAAAGGTAGCTAATTGATTTCTGCTCGCTGATTAAAGCCTCTGCAGGAGCCGGGGGACATGCGGGGGCGATCGATGGCTGTCAAAAGTCCCCTTGGTTCCCCTTCTTTTGGGGCGGGGCTGGGGCTTGTCCCCCGTGTGTCCCTTGGGGTTTGAGGCCATTGCACAGGCGTGAGGGGGATGAGGGGATGCACCCCCAGGGTCTTTTTTGGGGGCAGGGGGGATGATGACCCTATGGACTCACAGGTGCCACTGAGGCTGATGCCACCTCGGTGTTGTCACCGCACCGCCGTGGCGGATGGCGCTGGGAGCGGCCCCGGGCCGCTCTCTGCCTGTGTGTCCGTGCTGCCCTCCCCCATCCCCGCGTCCTTCTCTCACCCCCGGCGCTGGCGGCGCCTGTCACTTGCCATCGCGTCCCGCTGTCCCCGCCGAGGCTGATGGAGATGGCAGGCGACGGAGCGGGCGCAGCCGCGTGTCCCCATGCCATGAGCCCGCCGGTGCTCGGCCCCGGGCACGGCTCTTTCGCGCAGCCCGGCCACGCCGGCGGTGGCACCTGCGGGTGCCCCGTTGTCACTGTGGCCTTTGCCACCAGCGCTGACATCCCATCCCACGGACCCTCGGCTGACCGCGATGGATGCTTGGCCACGTGGGTGTCACCTGGGCTGTCCCAAAGTGTGGGCCCTGGTGGGAAGGGAAACTGAGGCAGGGAGTAGGGGCGAGCCCTGGGGACCATCCCCCGTGGGTGTTCTTCTGTGGGGACACAGGTGACGGCTTCCAGGGGTGTCCGCCGCTCCACAGGGGCGCTCGCAGTGCTCGGGGTGTGGCTTGGGGACAGGGCGTGGCTCGGGGCCGGGGTCACCGAGGGATCCCGCGCGCTTGGAGGAGGGGGTCAGTAGGGCAGCCGGTTCCACCTCCCTGCCTCAGTTTCCCTCCCTCGGAGAGTGGGCATCGCGTGTGGGCGGGGCGGGAGCGTTCTCGTGGGCGTGGTTAACACCACGGAGGCGTGTCCGGGATGGATGGGCGGGATCGAGGGGCGTGTCCGGCCGCGAGATGGGCGTGTCCCGGCGGGGTGGGCGTGGCCCGTGCGGCGCGGGGCGCACCGGAGCCAGCGGAGCGCAGCGGAGCC